GCACGTTTTCTCCATACATCCTTTTCTCTGCCTCTCTCTCTCTTTCTCTCTCTCTCTCTCTCTCTCTCTCTCGCTCTCTCTCTCTTTCTTTCTTTCTCTTTCTTTCTCTCTCTCTTGCTTTCTTTCTTTCTCTCGCTCGCTCTCTCTTTCTCTTTATTATTCTAACGCCTCCCTCTGTTTCTCCAGACCTATTTTTTACCACGCGCTCTCTCTTCCTCTCTCTCTCTCTCTCTCTCTCTCTCTCTCTCTCTCGCTCTCTCTCTCTCTCTCTCTATTCTCTCATTCTGTATTTCGCGCTCTTTCTCTCTATCTTGCCTTTTTACTTTCTCTTTCTCTCTATCGCTCGTTTCCTCCTACGCACCCTCTCTCACTCTCTCTCTTTCTCTCTCTGCGCGTCTTTTTCTTTCTCTCTCTCTCTCTCTCTCTGCGCGTCTTTCTCTTTCTCTCTCTCTCTCTTTCTCTCTGTACGTCTTTCTCTTTCTCTCTCTCTCATTCTCTTTCTTCATACTTTCCCTTCCTCTCTCTCTCTTTATCTTTTTCTGTCGTTTTTTTTCTTGCTTTCCCTCTCGCTTTCTTTCACTCACTCTTTCTCCCTTTCCGCCTCTCTCGCTCAGGAGGCGACAGTGGCGACTCATTTCATGCTGACTCGAATATCTCAGGAAAATAGGAAATCGCTGATGAAAATTACGCAGCATCATCGTGCGTTGCAAATGTTGCGTCGTAGTGCTCGTCATCACAAAGACGCGTGCGCGTGCGTGCGCGTGTGCGTGCATGCGTGCATACGCGCGCCTACAGGGCACGCGCTCTACGCATGTCACCGTGCGTAGCACAATCCGACACTTTGATGTATATGCCAATTGAAAATCAACGCGGTACTGTTATATTGCGGGTATTTCAGAAACATCGCGACAGAGTTGAAACTGTCGTGTAGCCACTTCTCTCTCTCTCTCTCTCGGGATGACATCGATCATACGTGCTTAGTAGTCTTCATTCGTGAGAAAGAACGAGTTGATTGCGCTAAGGGCGCCTGCTGTTGTTCCGTGTCGTCATGCATGCGGCTCGGATATGTTAATGCTCGCCGTGACGTGTCATTAAATATTAACTAGAAATTAAAGTCGCCAGGAAAATGCTCTTGCGAAAATGCCCACGATGGGTGGTTGCACTTCGCTTTGATATGTCGCAATATTTAAACCCGACGGCGAGGCAGACAGGCGTTTTCAGGTTTTGTATTCGACCTTTTATCGATTTCGTGGCATATTTTGCTCGTCGCCCTTGCAATGTTGTAAAGCATGCTCGTACTTTGTGCCCATGCAAGGAGCGTCGCGATGGTACAATATACGTAATGCAGAGTCATTCAAATGTGAAGTGTTTGACACATAGAAGGTTATCAATGGTCGACACGCGTACACGCCTGAAAACACGGGGTTTCGTCATTAAAAGCTTTATTTATTGTTGTGATCCTTTGCGTAAGAGCGCGTATCCACGTTACTAAGCTTTGACAACCAGTAAAGATAATAAAATTGATGCAATAGAGACGCGAGAAAAAGAGAACTAGGGCGAAAGAGAGAGAGAGAAAGAGAGAGAGAGAGAGAGAGAGAGAGAGAGAGAGAGAGAGAGAGAGAGAGAGAGAGAGAGAGAGAAAGAGAGAGATAAGCAAGTGAGAGGGGGAGGGTGGCGGAGCGAGATAGTCACCTACGGGCGCTCTCTGATGTATTTGTATATAAAGGTTAGCGGCGTCCATCGATTTACCTTAACAATACCCTCAAAGACGAAAAAAAATCTGATAACTTAATCATCAATAAAGCTAATTCAGGTGACAGCATTTAATTGATCCCGCTGAGTGCCTAAATCTAGAACAAGCTTCATCCCACCCTGCGTATTACGATTAAGCTAGATTATACTACAGTCCGCGGTTCGATTGCATCGCTGGCAAACCATTTAACCAGTACTGGTTCGTCTAGTGCTGACCTAACTTTAAATTGGACTAGTAATCACATCTCTGCATCACAACGTTTAATGGCGCTCTAAAAATGTAGTTAATTACTATAAACATCATTACACTATTTCGAATTTTGATTTAGTAAGCGCCCAGTTGCATTTTGAAATGCTTTTACGGTGAAATAATTGAAATTAGTAAAAATTAGACTTCACTGATTATCTTTATTGATTATACGTATGCGTATAATGACGGTACTATATGCCTAGTTAATTCTATGCGTAGATGGAACCAATAGAAATTTATCATAAACTGAGTTCCGTCATATTTATTCGCCGTTTATCAATGACTCCTCAAACAGTTAATTGTTTGAATAGTTCGCATGATCGAGTTTATATGTAGAAGTAAATAAGGAGGAGATATATAGGAAATAGATATATGAGGAGAAGACCTTTTCATTATTTACTTAAACTAAAGTCACATGGGTCAACAACTGATCGCTACACGTACATATGAGACGGAGGTCTATAGTGTGCGAGAACCCTTGGCAGTTTGGTATAACCCATCGGGAACCAACAAACTACTAATGAGCACAAGAAAAGATCATAACAATCACCGATAAATAAAATTTTACCTCGATGAGAGAAATCTGATCAACCTGAGAGTGTTTCTTCTCAGTTTGATCGGATTTCTGTCTTCGAGGTACTCAGCCATCGTTATTCGACGCATTAGGTTCACTTTCATCTGGATGATAACATCCCCCCACGCTCGTGTCCGCAATGTCTACATCTGCACTCTTTCCATCCAACATGTCTGCATCTAGACCTGACACATCTACCATATATACATTTGCACCTTTCCTATCCAACATGTCTGCATCTAGACCTGCCACATCTACCATGTATACATCTGCACCCTTCCCATCCAACATGTCTGCATCTAGACCTGCCACATCTACCATGTATACATCTGCATCCTTCCTATCCAACATGTCTGCATCTACACCTGCCACATCTACCATGTATACATCTGCATCCTTCCTATCCAACATGTCTGCATCTACACCTGCCACATCTACCATGTATACATCTGCACCTTTCCTATCCAACAAGTCTGCATCTAGACCTGACACATCTACCATATATACATTTGCACCTTTCCTATCCAACATGTCTGCATCTACACCTGCCACATCTACCATGTATACATCTGCACCTTTCCTATCCAACAAGTCT